CGGGCGGAGAAGGCTGCCGCGCAGCCTGGCCCCGGCTCCCCGTCCCAGAGCGGCTGTTCCAAGGCGGGTGGGGCTGGTTGTTCTCCATGTCACCGTAGGAAGGAGCCGGGCCCACGGGGCGTTGGGAGCCTGCAGCCCGCCCTGAGACAGCCGGGTCCGGCCCACGTCCCTCCCCCCAGGGCCGACAGCCCCACCCCGGCCGGCTCACCGCTTGAAGTACTCGACCTCTCGGTCCGTCTCGTCCATCTCTACCCCGTCCGTGTCTTTGGGCAGGAACACGTCATCTGGCAAAGCAGAGGCGCATGGTCAGCAAGGGCTCCGCAGGGCCCAGGGCAGGGGGCCAGGCTGAGCCCGGAGCCGGGACTCACCGATGGACGTGCTCGACTTCTCCATCCTGCTCCTGCTCTTCCTGCTCCTGCCCTTGGGCTGGGGCGAGCTGCCCAGGCCGGCGGGGAAGGGGGGCTGCCGGTCCCCCTCGGCCGGGGGCAGCGTCTGTACCAGTGCCGGCTGCTCTGCTTTGCCCTCGCCCCTCCGGCCTTTCCCCTCGCTGCTCCTCTCCTTCTCGGGCCTGGAGCTGCCGCAGCCCCCGCCCTGCCCCCTGGTGCTCTCCGGGGGCTCCCTCTGCGGCGCGGGCGCCGCGCCTGGCTTCAAAGGCGGCTTGGCTCCCAGCACCAGCCCCTTTGTGCTGGGACTCTCCCGCCCAGCCAGGGCGCTGGGCACCGGGGGAGCCTCCCCCTTCTTCACGTCCCTCCTCTGCCTGGCCCCCGCCGGCGCCTGCTCCTGGGCTGGCCCCCCCTGTGGGGCAGAGTCTGTCGGCTGCGGGGGGGGGACCCAGATCATGCGCGAGAGGTTGGGCACCGCGCTCAGGCGCTTCACCACCCCGTTCTCGGCGGCCGGCAGCGGCCCCTCCTCCAGGCCCTCGCGCCAGCGGGGCCCCAGCTCGCTCCGCAGCAGCACGTGGCTCTTGGGGGGCCCCAGGCTCAGCGGGGAGAGGTCCAGGTCAATCTCCTGGCGGCCCGAGGAGCCGTTGAGGTGGGGCAGCAGCGGCTTCT